CCTTGCCCTCATACAACATTTTGTCATAAGCGGCGCCCGCCCCCCCCCCCCTTCCCCCCTCCCTTCCTCCCCCCCCCCCCCCCAAAAAAAAAAACAAAATCCTGGCTACGTGCCTGGTTTCCATCCAGCCTTGAAATAATGTCTAAAATATGAGGTAGATTAGATCACAATAGCTGAATGATGAGCATACCTGTGAGCTAGGGAGAGGACTGACATGTTTAGCACGAGATAGGCACGAACGGTGAATGTGGACACACTAACACACACATTTCGTGCATGTCCCCTGTTTGCAGAGATGCATTGCAGCCCTGGGAAGTTAGAGTAACATAATTTTAAAACAAAAGCACGAATCGTAAAAAAAGCTAAAAAAAAACTGGGGCAGAACAGTTGTACTACACTGTCAATTTTAAAAACAGTTAAGTAGTGCCCTACGCACCGCGAGATACAAAGAGTAGAAAAATGTGTCACGGCGAAAGTTGAGCATCTGCTGAATGATGAGATTCATACCGCGAAAGCTAGACAACAATCACCAGTAACTGCTCAAAAGCCAGATGCAGACAATTGGTTCCGCAGGTACGCAAGAATTGTGCTCACGAAGTCCACGTGGTTGTCATTTCGTTAATAAACTAGCCGAGGGCTACAGGACCTGCAATTTTCGCGTTAGTTGCGCTCACAATCGTTCATGGGCGTACCAACCGGGGGGGCAAGGGGGGCACTTGCCCCCCCCAGTTCTCAGAGTGGGGGGGCAAGGCATGCGTTTTGCCCCCCCTGAAACGGCCGCCACTGGGCAGAGCAGACACAGGCCGGCGGCGCCCAAGGAATACCAAGGGCACTGCCCCCCGACCCGCGCGGGCATATTTTTAACGCGCAGGCGATACAAACCCTAGCAACGGTGCTCACGCACGCCGGATTGGCTGGTTCGTAAAGCCTTGCTCCACGAACAAGGCTACACGGTAACCTTACGGAATCCATCCGCGAGACATGGGCCGGACGGGCCGTCCAGACCAGGACGTAGGCCCTTACACAAAATAAAGTTTTGCTTGCTTGCTTGGAGATAGGCGCTCCAGCCGTCAACATAGGCAGCGGATGCAATGCGAGTTTCCGAAGAGGTAGCGTAACTTAGTGGTGAGATGTCTGCCTCATACGTGTCAGACCCGGGTTCTATTTATGGTGTGGGCCGGCTTACTTCTTTTTATTTTTTTTCTCGAACATTTTGTTTTGTCGAGGCATTTGGCGATATTTACATTTCTTTTTTACCATTAACACTAAAAAAACGAATGTTGTTGACGAAACATCGCTAAACTAAATCGTATCGACTCTATTTACGGAAGTGCATGGGGGGCAGCGGGGCTTGGGTTGCCGACCGGACGCCGCAAAGCGGCGTGTACGGGGGGTGGGGGGGCTAGGTGGGTTAATAGATTTGTAATTACCAGCCGCACACCGTCACCGCGAAGCGGCGTGAACGCAGGCGCGGGGGTGGGTTAACGCGCTTCGAGTGATACACGAGCAGCCCATCCGGCGTGAGCGTCGTTGTTAGGGGTTTATCGCCTGCACCGTAAAAGGAGCAGTGTGTGCACCTCCTGTAGTGGGCAAGAATTCCTACATTGGAGAGAAGCGGGGACAAGCCCTTTCTTCAAATGCGTCAAGTCTCCTTGAGCTTCGGAATACAAAGAAACGCCACTATTCGGAGCTAATCCCACAGTTACTCGACCTCTCTTGCGTCGTGTCTGTTCGCTCCCCGCGCCTCGTAGCAGTGTTGTTGCAGTGGGGGGGCTCGTTAAAATTTTGGGGTTTTTTGGACTATCTAAATCACTTTCTTCCTTCCCATCCCCCCCTTTTCTACTCCGCATGCTTCCCCCTCTGCAAATATCAGCTGACCTTCCGACCTCTGTTCTCTGTTGATAGGCAAAACAACCACTAAAATTAGAAAGTAATTTGTAATTTGAGTGGAAGTCACTCGGAAAAGTAGTTAAAGTAAACTACGAATTACTAGAATATAAATGTAATTAAAAGTTACTAAACTACCCAGAAAAGTAGTTAAACTACAGTAACTTGAGTAAAGTAGTTGAACTACGTACAAGTCTGGCCTGGCAAGCGCTCTGCGTAAGTGTTTTCACTGATCTGCCTATCACATGGGCCAAGAAAGGTGTAGTTTTACTGCAGAGGAGAAATCAGCAGGGTCCAAGATGGTGACAATGGAGGATGGGGGACTGTTCCAGTGGCTGATGGCTTGAGAAAGGAATGACCAATTGAAAGCGTTCGTAGAGCCAGAAGTGTGTTTGATGGTGCAGACGTTGTTGAGGCGAGAAGATGTTCGGTCGAGGGGTAATAACAAAGTGGTTTTGAGGTCGGGAATGTGGTAGTAGATTTTGTGAATAAGGCACAGCTGAGAGACTTTCCTGCGAAGCTGCAAAGAGGACATGGTTAGTTCAGTTTTTAGCGCCGAGACACTGAAAGAAAAGTCATAAGTGGATGAAATGAAGCGAGCAGCTCTGTTCTGAACTGCCTCTACAGCGTATTGATAAGGTACAGTCGATGGGTATTCCAGATGGTTGAAGCAAATTCTATTTTTGGTCTGACGTACGTGTTAAAGGTTAGCTTAGGGACAAAGGGTGGAGCGATTTTTTAAGTTACGTCTGCTTAGTCCAAGAGTTCCAGATGAATCGGCGGTAATGACTTCAATGTGGTTATTCCAGGGAAGGTCAGATGTTAGTCTTACACCAAGGTATTTATACACAGTAGCGGTCTCAATCAGATCGGAGTCCAAGAAGTAATTAAATGACAGAGTGGTTTTTTTTCTTGGTGAAGTGGATTAGTTTGCGTTTATACTTGTTTGGTGACATAATCCACTCTTTGCACCAATTGTTAATTTTATCTAGATCTTCCTGAAGCTGGTTATTATTTTGCACACAAGTTACTTTGTTATGGATGACGCAGTCGTCGGCGAAAAAGCGTTTTTTTGAAGAAATCCCAATGGGAATGTCATTAATAAATATTAAAAAGAGTAAGGGCCCAAGTACGAACCCCAGGGGAACACCAGGAGATACATTTATGAAGGAAGATTCATGATCATCATGGACGTGACCTGTACACGGGAAAAAAGAAAGTCACGAATCCATGCAAACGGTTATTGGTCGAGGCAAAAAGATGATAGCTTAGAAAGAAGGCGTTGATGGAGGACACGGCCGAACGCTTTGGAAAAAAAAAAAAAAAAAAACTGCGTCAGTTTGGACGTGACATTCAAGGTTAGTGTGCAAGTCATGGATGCAGTCGCAGAGTTGCGTTTCGCAGGAAAGTACCGTTTGAAAACCGTGCTGCTGTTTAAAGAAAGGAAATGGGATGATAGGTGCCTCATGATATTGGAGTAGAGGATATGCTCAAGTAGTTTGCAAGAAATTGAAGTCAATGAATTAGGGCGATAATTAGATGCGGAAGAGCGGCTGCCCTGTTTAAAGACTGGGAATTACCCTTCCCACCTTTTGGTCAGATGGAAGGCAGCTTTGAGATGAGGACTGAATGAAGATGAGTTTCAAATACTCACTAGAAATAACACGGGTGTTTCTTTTAAATTTTAGGGTTGATGTTATCGGTTCCAGCGGACGAAGTAAGTTTTAGTTTATCAATCAATGTTTTAATACCAGCGGAGTTAACGTTAATAGGATGCATGCGCTCGTAAAGCTCTTCAGGGAGAGTGGGGACGAAGTCCAAGCACTCGTTAGTAAACACTGATGAAAAGTATTCGTTAAACACAGAACTATCATGCTCGACGTTGCACATCCGACATTCCTAACTCTCCCCATCTTCCTAAACGTCCGTGTGTGTCCTAACACCAGAAACCGGAATTTTAAAGGTTAAAAACGGCACGTTGCGAATATGGAACGCGCACTTTCATGCAAAGCTGACGTCAAGTCACTCAAATCGAAAAACATGCATATTTACAGTATTGTTATCTCTTCTGGTGAAGGCTAAACAACCGTTGCATCCGTTTTCGCGCACGAAACGGTGACTCCCAGAGAAAGTAAGAACGCAGTGATTGTCTTTATTTTAACAATGTAAACACACTTGCAGGCGTGCGCTGATGAAGCCTCAAAATCAAAACTCTCGTAGTGTGATTCGTGACTGCTCCGGCTACTACCCAACCTCGTTGTCACGCCACTTTCTGCAAGCAAACACTAAAATTGCCAGTAAACACACAAAAGCGACATCGATACAATTATCTTGTAGAATATCACCTTATTTAATCATAACTGTTTCAATAGGCACTACAAGTTGTATTTATTTTAAGAAGAAGAAGCAAAATTTTTTTCGTGAGAAAAAGCAAAATATCAATGTTAAGTCTGGTAACGTTGTAATTTTGCCGAATCATTGCCACATCTTTAGAAAACTTCGACAAAAGTTGCGCCGAATTTTCGATTAAGGGGGGGGGGGGGGGGGGAGAGGGTCGGGTTTGCCCCCCCACTCAAAAACAAGTTGGTACGCCACTGCAATCGTTATTAAGTTTCATGACAAAGCTACCTTGTAACTTACAAAGCGTCTTGAGTACGTGGCCGATCACTTGAGTGTTATAGAGGGGATGCTAGTCAGTCAGTCAATCAATCAATTTATGACCGAAATGCGCGCCGTGACGTGCTTTTTTTTTTTATGTAAGAGGAATAAAGACAAATATGCACTATTTACTGGATGCTTTCAGCGCAGCAAGACGATGCTTCGAACAAGGAACACCGTGCAAATCAAACTTACATCTCATCAAACAACAAACACATGTTTCTGCCGAGCAAACAGGTCCGGGAAATCAGACAATCGGTTCGGCCGAAATGATGCTGGCCAAATTCAATCGATAAAACTAGAAATATTGAGATTTCGGCAGTGCCTGAAGGACGGTGACGGCCTCTATCGTAGGAGCTGAGCAGTTGTTGTTCGATGGTGTCCCGGGTCCCCACCAGATGCCGCTAGCAACACGCTTTATTTTTATTTTTTTTTCTCCTCGCGCATGCGCGCCCTTTGAAGTTCGTCGGAAGGAAGCCAGCCGATTGTTGGCGGCGTTCAATTGAAGATGCGGTGGTGCTTTGGCGGCGGAGTGTCTGCTTCTCGAAAGTTTGTTTTCTGCAAAACCACACTCGTGCAGCGATCTCTCGTGTCGCGTTCGACACCGGCTGTCCCATGCTAGACCAAGTTTGTGTCGGCGTCGTACGAGGTGCTTGTGCCGAGCCGCCTCCCCTGGGGTGACTCATATGACAGCGGGTCCCATGTGAGAACGACGGAAGCGGCGGCTTGATGGCGAGCGCGGAGGCTCAAACTTCAAAGTTCGTCGGAGGCTCTCCAGTTCGCCGGACTCCTGTGAATACCACCATGTTATGTGTCTTCGTTTTTTGGGTCTGCGTCTCCCGGGGAATTCCCGTCTCTGCGGCGAAAGGTGAGCTTCTCGCTACAAGTTTAAAACTTCGCAACTCGCTGTCACTCGCCGCTGATGTTTTGGCTCGTACCCTACACAGCGCCCCCAGACCAAAAGAGAACAAGTTTTAAATCAATCACAAGTGTCATAGGAGAATTAATACGATCACCCCCGATAGAGATGATTATGTTGGTTGTGTTTATTGACTAGTCTGTAAGTTTTAGATGACACATCCATATTGTTTGATCCTTACCAGTATGATCTCTTGATACATTATTCCTTCGATTTAACCCCGTATTAATCGTCGGATATTTACGAAAAAAAATCCTCTGTTTCTTACTTTCTACCTTTGATTGGAGGGAGAGTCGAACAGTCATGTCCGCGCACTGTAAGCAAACAGTCGACAATTACGCTATGGTGTCAATCAAAGCCGCTTTGAAATAAAATGACACCGAACGCGAAAGTGACATTGGGTGGTCCCCATGTAAAAACACGCAGGCAAACAGCGAGTGCAGACCCTACTTTTGTGGTGCTTTGTCCACGTGCCGTTTGTTTGTTTTCTCTTCTCTTCTGAGAGAGAAAAAGAGAGAGGGTAAGATTGAGGAGAAGGAGAGAAAAGAAGGAGAGCATTCGAGCGAAGGGCCCAAAATCCGAGTAGCTTGTGTTTTGCTGCCGCGGAATGACTCGCTGCGGCCTCCTTTGGACTTTCTTTGGCTCGATCTTGGGTCGCCACTCTGGCTGGCAGCCGGGCTCCGTCGCCCCCGGGGCCATCGCATCGTAATCTGACATTAACCGGGCACCCCATGTCACATTCCGTTCGGGCGACGGCGGATTCTCTGCGGAGCTTAGGTCGGCTATCCCCTTTAATCTGGGCCAGATCATGACAGATGATTCCGAGCGGATACGGTGATAGCACCCCTCACCCCCTCTCCCCCTTCCCATCTTGAACCAAAGACCACTAAAAACCCTAGATACATACACAAATGAGGTTAAAAGACAAAAACATCGGAAACACAACCACAGCGTGTTATACGGGGAAGCTTGCCCCGTCTTCCTCGAAAGGGGTTAGTTGGTGTCTTTTTTATTGATTTATTATTTTGTTTCTTGTCCTAGGCCTTGGTTTCTCGCTGAGGGGCTGCTTGATCCGCAAAGATTTGTTCCCCCCATCCGTTTTTTTTTTTTTTTTTTTATTTGATTTGCAATGGGGTGCTGTGTTTCGAATTCGGTGCCGTGTAGTATTATACTGGCGAAAGCGGCTCGGCTGAGCGTCGCTTGTTAGCTCGCGCTCTTTTCCGTTCGATTTTGCATATCAGTGATGGATGGCGACTGGCTCGGTCCGCTGCGCCCTCTGGAGCGTGGTGCGTACGCTTGGAAAAGGGAGCGCGGTGGCGCCGGCGATTGCATGCATGACATGATGGAGCCGGCTGGCGAATTGGAGTTTGATTCGTCAGCTGTGTGCACTTCCGATTGGTGTGCGGCGCGTATGCTAATGCTTCGGCTCGGTGCTGCCGCTGTGAGGCACCGAGGTTTTGAATCCCCTCCCCGGTTCGATATGCTGATCCGTCGATGCCCCAGGCACGGAGGATAGGGTGTGCCGTGGATCGGTTGTTTTTCTTGTGTGTTCGACTGTCCTGGTAGTCGGCAATAAACAGGAAAACACGATTGCGTCTACTTGCATCTCATTGATATTTCTGCCTGGAGATGGCCAATCAGGGTGGTTCATTTCGGGATGCTAACCGCCCCCCCCCCCCCTTTTTTTTTGTTTGTTGTATTGGGTGTGCAAGGAATTTGAGATAGATAACACGTAGTTTCACTTCGTACGAATAAAGTACAAAAGCGCCCATAGCGTCACTTCAACAAAACTTTTTCTGAAAAAAAAAAAAAACAACAAACAAACAAACAATTCAGTGATATCCACCTGCAGCAGACGATATATCGTTTTCACAAGTTCCATAATACACACTCTTGTTACTGAAAAAAAAAAAAAGTAAAGAAAAGGCCGAAATTGCTGTTGCCATTAACTGGTTCCCGAAGAAATACGTTAGCATTTTGCGCAGCGGTTTTATATAACGAAGCATAGTAACTACAGTCTCTGAGCACGTTGTCGCGTTGTGAACATTGCAGAAATCCCTCTGCTCCCTGGTGCAAGCAGATCAGTTCACTTAGCGTATGCATGAAAGACGTCCGCGCGAAGCGCGTAAACCGACAGAGCCATTGCGTTGTGCGTATTTATTCAACGCGAACGTGCATTTAATCCTCCAACGGATAGATCATGCACGTGAGTGGCCTGTGCAACATGAAGCACGCCACATATGCAGCTGTTTGATGTTATGTACATGGCGACTGGGGGGAGGGGGGGGGGGGAGAGATCAAATCTATAGTGGTGCTCTTGCGCGACGTGGCTTCGCTAGTGTCCATGCACGGCGCCTGTCCGTACTGAGACCGTACGTGCTCTAGCATCCACTGGTGGTGTCCGCCTCTAGCGTTAACGTTAAGTCCCGCATACGATGAGCGGCATCACATTGTGTCCTACATCAATCGGGCTGGCGTACAACCCTTGGGTCGAAGAACGGAACCGCAGCCTGTGTGCGTCCACAGGTCTACAAATGCGGCGGCAGGAGCTTCGAAGGGCGTCCAAAGCGACCCGCAGCCCGTCCGCCATCTGTTGGCGCTTGCAGAAGGTGCTTCCCTTTCAGTTTCCACAGCCAGTGCGGCTATAGCGTCATCCCGTGGCGACGTTGCGAACTTTGGTTTGTATAAACCTGTCCAAGGTCAGCGCATGTACCAGGGCACTAATGCTAACGCATAAATCAACCAAAACAAGCGTCATGCTAACGGATTTTCTTAGGATCCGCCAATGGATCTTCCTTTAATGTTTTGCCGCTTACTTGGGCCTGCGGTAGTACTTGGCACACACTCTATTTTGTGTAGCGCAAACCAAGGCATACGCGCTCCGCGCACCTGCAAGTTCAGACTCGCCCCAGCATCCACGCGCGCATTGGCTTCCGCCCCGTGACGTCACTTCCCTCTCATCTTTGTCCTTCACTACTCTCCTCCTCTCTACACATCGCGCTTCCCTTTCCACTGTTTTGTCCACAGACGGACGCTGTCCGCTTTCCCCGGTCATGTGGGTACTAACGCTAACGCAAAAGAAAAGAAACTCTATTTTTAGAGTTGTGAAGGGCTCGAACCATTTCATCAGCCTTCGGTCCTCTTTTAAACCTTCATGAGATGTCTACTTTTTGTGAGCAAAGTAAGCGACTCAATTAACCGCTTAGTTTACGTGCTCTCCAACACCGGAGAGAAACTCAAAGAGAGGAGGAGATGAGTGCGCCGAGCTTTGATTGGCACAATTAGGGGGTAGACGCGAAGGTTCGCTGCCTTTGTTTCCACTCCCTGTTTGAAGGCGCCCGAGCGGCGAACGCCGGTGTCCGGCGTTCGAGCGCGAGGCACTTGGCGAGGAGCTGACGACGCTCTTGTTCGCTCGGTTGGAGGGGGGAGCGAGTAAAGGGAGGCAGCTATATAATATAGCCTTTGCGCCTACCCACTAATTCTCCCAATCAGAGTTCGGCGCTATGATGACCTCCCCGCGCGCTTTCATATCCCCCTCTGCCTCAGTTTCGCTATGTATTGGGCTGCTGCTTTGGGACTTGTGCGAGGTAAGTCCCGTGTTTGGCGTTAACGCGTTACAAGTAGCGGCGTTACCGGGAACGCGTTACTTTTCTGCGGTAACGTGTAACGTACTAGTTACTTTTTTTCAAAACAGTAACGGGTAACGTACTTACGTTACTTATTTCGAGTAACAGGTAACGGAGTTGCGTTACTCGTTACTTGTTATTCCCAAGACCTAAAAATATTACACTGTAATTGTTTTTGTGTTTCTAAGCGCCAAGTTATGTGAATTTATGGGTATTTTTGCGTTTTTCTTTGTGTTTTTTCTTGTGAGTATTTGCGTGAAACCGTAAAAAATAAAGCTTTCCACCTTTCCAAGCTGGGGAAGAAGGAAGACCAGCGAAGCTGTACTGTAGTGGCAAGGAAGTAATGGCCGGCCGCAAGTCGGCAAGCTAGAGTCGAAAGGCTGGAGTGGTTGCCGCCATCTATGAGCGACGGCGGAACCAGAAAACCGGCAAGCAAAACACTCTGGACAGCTACCGTCATCTATGAGCGACGGCGGCAACCAGAGTGTTGTGTCGACACTTCTTTGAGGACGGACGCGATCCTGGGGAAACTAGCCCTTAACAGCTGCGCTGTAAAAAGAAAAAAATAATGATGTTCAGTTTTTGCATGGACATAATGTTTGAAGAAATATGGCGCTCATGCATACCTTCGACGTCAAAACAGTAACACGTTTTATGGCATAATTGAAAAAAGTAACTCCAAAGTAACGTGGGTTACTTTGTATCGGTAACGGTAACACGTTCCTTTTTTTTTTTTGAAGTAACGTAAGGCGGTAAGGCGTGTCTTTTATTTGCAAGTAACGAGTAACGTATTTCGTTACTTTTTTATTCGGTAACGCCTACAACACTGGCTAAATCTCATGGTTACTTTATTCCGCTAAGTCTTGACATGGTAACACTTTCTCTTTTTTTTCTTTTTTTCTTAAACACGTTCCTTTTTTTTTTTTTTTTTTTTTCTTGTGCGAGTTGACTTAACTCATACATGCACTGGCAGTGAGTACTTGAACTGCTCGACTTCGAGAGTAAGTTACGGGGGTTCCCGTCATGGGATGGGATCGCCGGCAGCTAGTCTCAGGGATGTTGATGCATCTCCTAGGCCCGTGGACGGTTCACGAAAAGACCGCACCCTACCAAGGTTTTTTTTTTTAATTTTTTTTGTAAGTTTTGTTTACTTTTTGTGCGTTTAATCTTTCATAGGAGAGCATAAGCGAGCGTCAAAGAAAAGAAGAAAAAAATCATGGCGGCTTGCGGCTCCAGATTTCCGGTGTGAGCAGACAGCGAGTTCTTTGTAATGCGGATGGATGACGTTGCCGGCTAAATTCGACAAATTGTGGGGAACAACAG